AATTATGACATTATCTCTCTGTTTGCATGATTCAATTATCTCACGCATTTACTATTATTTCTGTCACATTGCACACATCCGAAGGTTAGGTCTAACTGTTTGGCCGCCGCGCCAATAGTCCGTAAAACTTCACACATTCAATTTCAAATCCTCAAAACTACAAACTACAAACCCTAATTTTCACAAATGCCTCGCCGCAGGCAAAATTATAATTTTACCCTTAGCATTAGGTCAAAGAGCCGCCGCGCTCATTTTAGGGTTTCCCGCCGTGGAATCCCTAATTTAACCCTAATTACAACTTAACATTTCAACGTAGAGATTTGGAGTTTCTACACTCCACGTAAGCGTGTCCTTAAGATGCGTTTATTCCCCTTGAGACCTTGACCACAGTCAAGAAGTTTCTAACCTCCCTATTGAGGGGAACTACGATTACTCTGATTCCACTCCCGTAAGGATACGTAGGCACAAGATGCGATGTCTTGCCGAGTAAACTTAGAATTAACCCCCTTTATTATTTATTATTGCTTATTTATATTTTATTTAATTATTTTGCTTATTATTTTGTAATTGTTTCTTGGATGTAAAGTTGTTTAATTATTTAATTATTATTATGGTTGGTAATTAGGGAGTGTAACAACATGTATGTAATATTAAAATAAATTTAGATCACTTTTAAATAAAGATAATTAAAATAACACGTCACACACGTAAGTCGATTTTAATCGCCGTCTCACTTCCTAAGGATATCCCTCAAGTTGCCTACGAATAATGGTTAAGTGGGGTGTATAAAGCAAGTCCCTCAAATGGAAAAATCATCAAAGTCCCTTATGGTTGCCTTTACGAATCGAGTCCCTTTCGAAAAATGATGATGGTCCCTCATATGTGCTTATTACATCCCACAATGGCCTTCAAAGTCAAATTGTCCCTCACATGTCCCTTAAACATCCAAAGTAAGGACTACCTACTCCATTATAGTAGGGATAGTCTTACTAAAGGAAAGAATAAATAATAAGAAAGACCTTTAAACATTAGGGTAGGTTACTCCTAGGTGCTTGCTCGCTTCAAAACTGTTTCACACTTAAACAAATTTTCAACAAGTTTTCAAACAAGTTCTTAACACATCCTTACATGGATTATTTATTAACTATTCTGAAAATTTTCTATTCACACACTACACTTTCAAAACAATTCAAAAGTGAGCTTAAGTACCTAAGAGCCCATGGATAACCATGGATGAAAAGGGTGCTAACACCTTCCCTTTTCATAACCTACCCCCCGGACCCAAAACATTCTCTAAGGTCTTTCCTGTTCTTTTATAACCTTTCCTTATGGATAAAATAAAAGTCGGTGGCGACTCTTGCTATCCGCAACATTGTTTAAAGTCAGTTCTCCCACCGTGTTACACTATGTAATTAAGATGGTGGATCTGTACTGCCGGGAAATAATAAATTTTACAAAATTGCAGGTATTGGATCTGTGAGATTCAAGCTCCATGATGAGTCAATAAGGTTATTGACTAAAGTTAGGTATGTCTTGACTTGAAGAGAAATTTAATTTCTCTTGGTGAATTCGACAGAAAGGGATATGTTTTTCAAGGAGAGAAAAGTATCCTAAGAGTCATGAAGGGGTCGAAGGAAGTCTTGAAAGGTGTGAAGAAACAAGGCTTGTATACTATTGAGGTTGAGGTTGTAAGTGGTTCGACAAATGTTGCATCCACGAAACCTGTGTCGAAGACAAAATTATGGTACATGAGATTGGACCATGTCAACGAAATAGGTCTGGTCGAATTAGGGAAGCAGAACCTGCTAGGAGGTGACAAAGTCGAAAAACTAGAATTTTGTGACTCTTGTGTATTTGGTAAATCCTGTAGGGCGAAGTTTAACAAAGGCAAGCAAAGAATACATGGATCCATGGATTACATTCATGCTGATCTTTGGGGGCCTGCAAGGAGCCATTCACACTCAGGTGCAAGGTATTTTCTATCCATCGTTGATGACTATTCCAGAAAGCTATGGGTATTCATTCAGAAGACGAAGGATGAAACTTTTGAAAATTTCAAAAGTTGGAAGATTCTGGTCGAAACTCAAACTGACAGAAAGGTCAAGAGGTTGAGAACCGAAAATGGCCTTGAATTCTGCAACGAAGCGTTAGACAGTTACTATATTGAGTCTGCGATTGCAAGGCATAAGACTGTAGCAGGTACTCCTCAACAAAATGGCTTAGCTGAGAGATGCAATCGAACAATCCTTGAAATGGTTAGATGCATGTTGGTTAGTGCTAGATTGAAGAAGGTGTTTTGGGCAGGGGCTGTTTCGACAGCAGCTTAATTGATAAATAGATGTCCCACGACTTCCTTAAGAATGAAGACACCTAAAGAAGTTTGGTTGGGACATCCACCTAGTCTCGACAGACTGAGAGTATTTGGCTGTGTGGCCTATGCTCATATTAGGAAAGACAAGGTCGAACCTAGAGCTCTGAAATGCATGTTCATGGGATACCCTAAAGAAGTCAAAGCTTATAGGCTATGGTGCCTAGAGCCAGATCATAGGAGGTGTGTCACCAATCGAGATGTAGTTTTCAATGAAGTAGAGATGACTTTCAAGAAAATTGATGGTGCTGACGAAGAGCTGGAACATGGAAAGATTCCTGTTGAGGTGGAACATGTTGATGCTGAATTACGTAGCCCAAATGAAGTCGAAGAAGACGTAGAAGATGTTGTCGAAGATGAGGAGACTGATAATGACTACCTTCTAGCAAGAGACAGATCGAGGAGAGTCATCAAGCCACCTCAGAGACTTGGGTATGCAGATCTTATAGCATATGCCTTAGTCTCTGCAAGTGAAGTTCTAGATGAAGAACCTAGAGACTATAAGGAAGTTATGAGGAGTCAAAAGAAGACTTAATGGCTGAAGGCCATGGATGATGAGATTAAATCTCTTCATGATAACAATACCTGATAACTGATTAAGAAACCTATTGGAGCAAGGTTAGTCAGCTGTAAATGGATTTTCAAAGTTAAGGAAGGAATCGAAGGATATGTCGACTCTGATTATGCAGGTTGTGTGGATTACAAAAAATCTATTTCTGGATATGTGTTCACTATGTTTGGGACAACAATTAGTTGGAAAACAACACTTCAGAAGGTCGTTGCCTTATCAACCATTGAAGCAGAGTATATTGCCCTAACTGAAGTTGTGAAGGAAGCATTATGGCTTAAAGGTTTTGCAAAGGAGCTGAAACTTCAAGGTCGAGTTATCACTGTTAAATGTAATAGTCAAAGTGAAATACACCTGTCGAAGAATTCATCCTATCATGAGCGAACCAAGCACATTGATGTGAGAATGCATTTCGTCAGAGGGGTAATCGAGCATGGAGAATTCCAAGTGCTGAAGGTTCTGACAGATCATAATGTTGCTGATATGATCACCAACACGTTGCCCAGTTGCAAGTTTTTCCATTGTATGCAGTTGATAAAGCTGCATGAAGAAAGCTAGTTTCTTGATGTTATAGAGTTAGATCCAAGGTGGAGATTTGTGAGATGTTGGATCGAACTCTAGTATGGTCGAAGGGAAGCATCTGGTTCGACAAGAATTAAGCATGAGGTCGAAGTCTATTCACATGCTGCTGTCGAAGATAATGCGTGTTGTAGTCGAAGTTTGTTCTAACATGCATTAGTCAATATTGCTAGGTTGTTAGCATATTGGATTGGGCCTTGCTTGTAAGCACAAGTGTTTAAGTTAGCTTGTACCCTAAGTTAGCTTGTAATGAGTAATTGTTAAAAAGTCCATTAGATTAATGTGTTATTTTTCTTATAAATAGGATGCTAGTTTCTCAATCTTGGCATAAGGAAAAATAAGAAGATAAAATCCTAATTTCAAGTGAGAGAGGTTATTTTGTTATTCTTGTATACTTGTAATCTTGTTTCTAAGAGAAAAGAAAGAACAAAAGTTTATAACTAATCCTTGTTGTTCCTTGTTGTTTTACCTTGTCTTCTTTGTTAACCCTAACCCTTATGTGTTTCTTGATCATTAAGAAACCGTTTATACTTTGTTTCAAGGTATCCGATTCACAAAAAACTATTTTCATAAAACCGGTTTACATATGGATCAAGGTTTTTGATAAAAAAAATTGGTTTTAAAAAAAACCAGTTTAAAAGTCGGTTTCTTCAAAATCAGATTTTTATTTTCTTTAAATAAACCAATTGTATAAAAAGAAATTAATTTTAAAACCAATTTTATAAATAAAACCAATTTTAAACCAGTTTTTTTAATTAAATTTATATAAAAAATATATATTTTTTAATCAAGATTTTCTTTTAACTAGAGCCGGTAGGTGGAAGAGTTGAAACCATATTCTACACTATAAAATTGCCAACACACAAAGAAATGGAGTTATACCAATCATATCATTGTAAAAAAAGTTGTTGTTCATGACCTGTAAAGGACTAATAGATTGGAAAACATACACTTATAACCTCTTAAGATGTGATGTTCTATGCAGGAAACAAAAGTACAAGCATTAACTGCAAATCACTCTAATGATAGGTAATCCTACATCACCCAGCAGCACTACCTTCAGAATTGAAATTAACAACACAGAAAATACATGAAGTAGTCTAGTAAATTGCTTCTGATTGGTGGGAGATGTGTGAATCTCAAAATTGTCGAGAATGGGAGAGTTAATTGAAAAAATTGAAAATTGAAAAAGTATTATCAGCGATAACTTAAAAGGGTGATAAAAAAAATACAAATATATAAATTTAATATATAACAAAATTTGAGTACCTATTAACTAAACTATATTATTATTATTATTATGAATATATAATTCTAATAGAAAAAGAAATATAGATAGAAGGAGATAATACACTAACGCATAATATAGTACTTACACACATTACATCAACCCGAAATTAACAAGGCATTAACTAAACTAGTAATAGCTTTGATAATACAAAATATATATAGGTAATGCACGCATGTGTAGAGCTTACTTATAGTCTAGAGAGGTGGACAAACAAAACCAGGAGGAGGAGTTTTCCCACAAGTGATTAAAACTTGAAGAGCAAGAGGAAGGAAAATATTCAGATTAAGAACCTTAGCCCTAATCACAGTACAAAGACAAACAGCAGCTTCGAGATCAACCAATCCTTGAATAACAGGACAGCACGCATTCTTCTCAGGGTTTCCGATTCCAACATGAACAAGGCCTCCAAGAACATCCAAACAAAGTCCAAGTTTGAGTGCATCGATTGGACAAGTTGGTTGAGCTATTGGCGGAGGATATATGATTGTCGGAGGTGGTAGCAGTGGCGGAGGATATATGATTGTCGGAGGTGGTAGCAGTGGCGGAGTGACGATTATCGGTGGCACGACAACTACCGGAGGAGGAGTCACTATTGGCCGTCCTTTTCCGCCGCCGTGATGCGGTGGATGTTTTGGGTGGCTTGGTCGGTGGTGGTGGTAAGGTGGTGGATTTGGTATGCATGGACCACATGCATGTATCATCATTGGTGTAATGAGATTCAACATTACTATCTTGAAGATGAAAATTATAGCTTTTGATTTTGATGATGGCATGATCATGATGAATGATGTGAATGTGATACACACTTTCGTTGCTTTTCTTTTATTTTGATACTGCACCGATATACTATATACTATAGACTGTGACTGTGTTGTTTATATAGCTGTTGTTTGATGAGGAATTAACGAGTGAAGCGGTGATGGTTCTGAATTTGATTTAACTTTTTCGTTCATATTAAAAACGGTAGAATCAAATTTTTAACATGGTAAATAATGTAACAATGTCAGTGTTATAGAACATATCCCTAGGCTTCTGAGTGGCAGAGATATAATTGAAGTTTTTGGAGTTTTGTTGGTTGATTTGTGATTTCGAGAGTGAACCCGTGACTCTTGTTCAGTACAATCCGTGAACAATCCTTGCATGGTGTTCTGAAACTTGCTGAACAGGATGGTATAATATTACATATTTCGTTTGCATTTTATGTCTTTGGTTTTTTCACATAAATTGCGATATTCTTCTTCTGTTGGTGGTGAGGTGTTTGACACCTCTCTCATTCTTTTTGACACGATACAATGAGTAAAAGTTCCAACTAATTGAAAAAAAGCATTGATCATCCTTTGGATTCTCAACAATACCATATTTGTATTTTTAAAATTGAAAAGTGTGTCACTTTTACCCTCGATTGAAAATAGAACCGAGGTGAAAATATCAAATTTTCCCATAGGTTTTTTCTGTTAATTGAGGAGAAGGATGTTATAAGAGTGAAACTTTACCTCAGTTGAGTGATCCAACAGAGGAGAAATCCCTTATTTTTAAAAACTAATGTTTTATTTTAAATTTACAATGTTTTTTTGTTCTAACCTATATATTCTTTCAAACAAAACCTAAATTGTACATTTTGTAAAACAAAACAAAACTTTATATACCTCATGTACTAAAATGACACATTTTGTACCAAAACTATCCATTATTTATAACAAAGGTAAAATGGCACGCACATTCTTTTTTTACAACAAAATTTAAATATATACAAATGATTAACTAACAAAGCAAAAAACAAAAGTTTCCTGACTTGAAAGGAAGTCCTTAAGTCTTCTTCTATGAATGATATCCGCTTTTTAAACACTCATTATTTGGACAATATTTAAAAACAATTAAGATAACACAACAACAACAACAACAACAACCACTACGCCAGAAATCACTTTTAGCAGCGCATAGAAAGACAACGCTTTTTACAAAAGCGCTGCTAAAGGGCCATAAAAAAAAAAGAAAAAAAGCGCCTACCTAAGACAGCGCTTTTAAAAAAGCGCTGCTAAATGGTGGGTCTAAGAAAGCGCTTTTAAAAAGCGCTGCTAAAGGGGGGCCCTAAGAAAGCGCTTTTTAAAAGCGCTGCTAAAGGGGGACCCTTAGAAAGCGCTTTTTATATAAAGCGCTGCTATATGGAATTGATAAGGCACCCTATGAAAGCGCTGCTAAAGATCTTTAAAAGCGCTGCTAAAGGTATTCATATTATAATTTTAAAATACCCTCCAGAATTTTAATAGAATCAGAACAGTCACGCTAACTATTTCTTCTTTCTCTGGCGAACGAAAACACGAACCAACCACCCACTGTTCATCGTCCGACCATCGCCTTCTTCCGTCCGATCATCCTTCCGACCATCATTGACCGTTCACCGTCCGTTTTTGAGTTCATCCATCCGTCTGCATTGTCGGTCCACCATTGTTACGGTACGTGAAGCTTGCTCTGCTTTTCTTGTTTTTTTTTTTTTATCTTTTCACCATTGTTGTTCTGATGATATAGATGGTTTTATATAGATGGTATTTGAACATAATAGATGGTTTTATATTGTTGCTGTTGTTGTTTTTATTGAAGGTTTTGTGTTATCTGAGTTATTGAAGGTTTAGTGTAAAATATGACATTGAAGGTTTTGTGTTATTTGTTGTTGCTGTTGTTGTTCTGATGGTTTTTGTTGTTGGTTTATGTAAAATATGATATTGAAGGTTTATGTAAAATATGATATTGAAGGTTTAATATGATATATGAGATATATATGATATTGTTGTTGTTGTTGATGTAAAATATGAGATATTTGAGTTTTTGTTGTTGTTGTTGTTGTTGTGTTATTTGTTGTTGTTGTTGTTGTTGTTGTTCTGATTGTTTTTGTTGTTGTTGTTGATATATATATATATATATATATATATATATATATATATATATATATATATATATATATATATATATATATATATATATATATATATATATATATATATATATATATATATATATATATATATATATATATATATATATATATATATATATATATATATATATATATATATATATATATATATATATATATATATATATAGTTTAATATATGATATTTGATATATGATATTTGATGTTTTTAGTGTTATTGAGATATATTTGATATTTGATATAGTTTAATATTTGATATATGATATTTGTTGTTTGTTGTTGTTGTAAAATATGATATTTGTTGATTGTTGTTGTTGTAAAATATGAGATATAGTTTATATTTGATATAGATTGTGGTTGTTGTTGTTTAATATGATATTTGTTGTTGTTGTTGATGTAAAATATGAGATATATATATTTGATATATATTATTGTTGTTGTTGTTTAATATGATATTTGTTGTTGTTGTTGATGTAAAATATGAGATATATATATTTGATATATATTGTTGTTGTTGTTGTTTAATATGATATTTGTTGTTGTTGATGATGTAAAATATGAGATATATATATATATATATATATATATATATATATATATATATATATTTGATATATATTGTTGTTGTTGTTGTTTAATATGATATTTGTTGTTGTTGTTGATATGAAATATGAGATATAGTGTATATTTGATATATATTGTTGTTGTTGTTGTTTAATATGATATTTGTTGTTGTTGTTGATTATAAATATGAGATATAGTTTATATTTGATATAGATGGTTTGTTGTTGTTGTTTAATATGACATTTGTTGTTATTGTTGTTGATATTTGTTGTTGTTGTTGTTATTCTGAATTACAGGTATATTATGGCCAGCAACGAGGAAACATCACATGATGGAAAGGAAACACCCAAAGACGTTGAAGGCGAAATTAAAAGAGGCATAACGATAATGAAAAGAATCATCCGTGCGAGAGATAGAGGTGTAAAGTACGATGTCCATTGGAATGAAAGAGATCAGTTGGTTGAGCCTAATGGTGCGCTGCTGACAAGTTATATTGGAGCAGTTATATGTTCGCAAGTTCCGATTACTTGCGATAACTGGAGAATTCCTGCATTAGAAGCGGCTAAGGATAAAATTTGGACCGAGATTCAAGTATGAGATTTGATCATTTTTAATTATGTTGACAGTTACATCTTTAAATTAATTATACTAACATGTTATATGTATGTGTATTTGTTTGCAGAGATCTTTTAATATTGAGGATTCTAGGAGAAAATATTGTATTCATTTGGCCGGAAAACGCTTGAGGGGATTTAGAGTGTTTTTAACCAACAAATTTCTTAAAGATTCTGATGGCAACTTTGTAGACTCGGAGCGTCCAGCGAAGTACGCTGATTTGATTTCGGATGCAGAATGGGAGACATTTGTTGTGAAGCGAAGAACCAAAGAATTTGAAGTAAGTACAACTTATCATGAACAATGTATAGTATATATACCTATTCCACAAACAAACTGATATGACTTAAACTTGTTTTTTCAGGTTAAGAGTGGTGTAAATCGGGAACGGGCATCAAACCCTGCGTATCCATATAGAAAGGGGCGTTTGGGATATGCACGCTTAGAACAAAAATTAGTAAGTGCATATATATGCTTTAATATGATCTATTTACAAAAAATAGTAAGTATACATAATAGGATATAATGCTTTATTGTTCGTCTTAATGCGTAGTTGGAAGAGGAGAAAAGTGATGCGACATCTCTTCCGAACCATGTCGTATGGAAGGCTGCCCGGGTGGGAAGAGATGGAGCCGTCCAAGAAGAAGTTCAACAAGTGTTTGAACAATGTGTAAGTACAACATTAGTTTTTGAACAAAGTGTTTGAACAAAGTGTATAAAATATTTAAATATGCTTTTATCTATATTTCAGGAGTCCCTATCCCAGACTATAACTCCTGCTGAAGACGATGATTGCAGGAGTTTATTGAGTCGGGTGTTGAATATTCCTGAGTATTCTGGGCGTGTGAGGGGCAAGGGATTTGGTGTCACTCCATCCAAACTGTATAAGCAGCCAAGGAAAAAAATCCAACCAATAAATAAGTGATGGCTACTTTGGAGGAAATGAAAGCTCAAATTCGTGAATTACAGAAGGATAAAGGAGAGATACATGTCCGAAAGGCGCGCTCTAGAGGCCGGTAAAGCTACTAGTGACAAAGATAGTATTGGTTGTCCGCAGAAGCTTCCAGAGGTAATTGTATATATTACATTGAAATTAATTTAGCACATTTTTCTTAATTGACACATTAACTGATCATTATTTGTTTAGGGCATTTCACCTTGTCGACTATATTTATCGTCGCCGACTTATCGCATGGTTGGCAAGGGAAAGGTGCATAACACCCTGGGAGACTTACTTCACCATAAACCCCTCCCTGCTGGATTTTTGAAAGTATCTGCTGATATTGCATTAGAGGGGGGGGGGGGCGTTGTTGCCTATACCAGACGATGTATCAGACGCAACAGTGGTGGGAGACGCGATAGGAGCTTATGTAGCATGGTCGGCGAATCTCATTTTCATAGATGATGAGGTAGGTTGAACCTTGTAATATTCCAATATTTTATTACCCATACATGAAAGTTATTCTGACATTTAGACTTTCTTATTGACATGATGATCTTAGACTCCCACAAAATCCAAAACAAAAGATGATAAAATTATTGTGCGGGATACCGATTCAGCTGCATCAAAGTTACAGGTACTAGTACTACAGTTTAAGTGATTATTTTATTATAAATTATTTACTGAACTTATATATGACTTTTAGGTTCTTGATTAGCAGTCGCAACA